ACGCGAACCACACGATGCGAGCACGAGGGCCCACTGGAGGCACTGCCGGCTGGCTCGATACGCCAGCTGACGCACCGCTTCTGTCGTGTAATGTGCGACGGCGGCGGTGTGGTCACTGTCAACGGTCCTGCGGTGCAAGTCAGGGACGAAGACACCGGACAGTTCGGCGTCGACCACGTGCCGTGTCTCCGTGCTCCCTGGTGGCCGGCGAAGGAGAAATTCCTTGGTCGTCGCCAGGTCACGGAGTTTCCGCCGCCGGACGTGCGTGAGAACATGTGCCGTTTTGGCGTCCACCTAGTGCCAGTGAGTAAACCGGGCAGGGCCCCCGAGGACATGTGCTGGCAGGTTTCCTTCGCTCGGGCCTTGATGGTGGCTATTCGCTACCTCAGTACTCTGCAAGTCGCGACTATTGAGGCCGTGAAGACCATGCAGGTGATCGATGGTGAGAGCGTCGTCTCGGGGACTGCCCTTAAGTCCAGCTTCATAATCAATGCTGTGCTGTGGCTAGTTCAAGACACAAAGAGTGACTTGTGGACGAGCATCACCGGCAGCGCTCAAATGGTGCTGGACTGGCTGGAGAGGAAACTCAGCAAAGGCAGGCTGCCTTGTTTCTTTTACGAGGCCATGGACCTGGCAGAAGGGCTTAGCGGAGTTGCACGTCAGGACATGCTTGACACCATCCAACTACTCAAGAACCAGTCCACCCAACTCCTAGCGGTCCACTGCGTTGAGACGCTTGATCTGGTTGCACTGCTGGGGGAGGAAACCGAACCGCTCTCAGAGCGCCAGCTGCGTTTGCGGCTGGCTCAACATCTGATCATCAGCGGAGTGTCGAGCAGCATTGGTGCGAGGAAAACGGCACCATGGTGGCACCTTTGGTTCAGACACATAGTCCCAAACATGATCTTTGATATTCCGCTGGTGAACTGGTACCACCGCTGCATCTCTGGCACGTACACCCTTCAGTGCCTACTGTTACAGGCGTGGAGCGTTCTGGACCCAGCAGATTTGGTGAACGGGGATCAGGAAACGGAATCCTACGAAGGCACCATCATGCTGGACGCAACTCCGCTGACGCCGCTTCTCTCCAAGTCTCAGCTAGAGTTCCTGCTGGGTGATGCAGCTGCCGTGGCCGCCTGGTGTCGCCGCCAGCTGCGGAGGCCTGAGGAGGAGCGACCGGCCGGCCTGACCGCCGAGCTGGACGCGCCTCGGGGCCGCGCTGAGGTGCTGCTGCAGCCTGAGCTGCTGCTGCAGGCGATCAGTAAGGCCGTGCCGAAGGAGCTCAGCCGGCGGAAGGCAGCGGACCACGAGGTGATGCTAAATTGGCGGCCGGATGAACGCGCTCATCAAACCTACCAAGACTGGAAGGTGATGCTGGAGGAGTGCTTCAGATCGAACCTGAGGCAAACACTCCGCGACTGCCTGCCGGAGCTTGACAGCATGCTGGTGGCCAGCGCGGCCGGTCTCTGGAAACGGCACCTGCAGGACCTGCTTTCCAGTGGCCACCTGCAAGCCAAGTACACGGAGGCGCGTTGTCAGGGCCGCGACAACTGGCATCTGCGGCCCCTGCTGATCAAAGACCCTCCAGTCGGGGGTGAGGATGCTCACAAACAGGTGATATGTTTGTTCCCGTGCTGTCAATTTCAGTTAATTGTTAAAACGAACTTACGGATGAACACCATGCAATGCATAATCTTAATGATATACTGAACATCTATATGACCTATGATGATTTCCGATCGTGGATTAACCCGCGCCCTGCTGGGGGTCCTGGATTTCCACGCCCTGCTGGGGGGGGGGGGTGTTTGAACACCCCCCCCCCCCCTTGTAACTCGGCTCCTGGGCCACGTAGCGATACGCGGAAGGCGGCGTTCGAAAGAGAGTAAAAAATAATGACGAAATCACTTCGGTCAATTTTTTGGTCAGGTCAAAGGTCAGGTCACCAGAGGTCATTGAAGGCAAAATTTCGCCGATTTCCAGGTCGAATGTCGAAAATTTCCAAGAAGCCAACGCATAACTCGGGAACCAATAGAGCTACAGCGCCGCGGAAAAGCGCATTTGATAGCCCTATTAACGCCCTTTCTGAGTAATTCTCTCAGATTTGACCTAACGTCAACGGTTTTGCCTGCAGGGGGCAAAAACTGCAAAAATAGCCGATTTTTTCGAAATCAGTTTTTCTGTAATAACTTTTGACCCAAGCCTTGTACGAGCTTACTTTTACCGGCATCGTGCTCCTCTCGTCAAGACGCATCGAATGAACTATAATTTGACCTTAAAAGGTCAACTTGAAAATTTGACCTCAGGTCAAGGTCATGACCTGACCGGAAAGGGTCATGTTGCATATCAGTCGATCCGTATCGTCGAGCTGAACACATCTAAGGCGTTTTCATCGCTCTAGCATGCCTCTATCAAAATTTATTTGCGAAAAACTGTTAGATACCATTCGTGACCTAAGATGACCTCAGGGCATAAACAAGGGTCACGGACACCATTTTCAAGTTCAGTGTGTCTAAAACACATGTAATTCGGTGTTTGGGAGTGTTTATAATGTCTTTCATCCAAAAGAGGCGCATTTCAATTTTCTCCCATTGACTTATAATGGGGAGGTCGCAAAATTGACCTGACCTTAGGTCATCGATATCAAAATTCTGAGATATACATTTTGTACATGCTATTGCTCTTAGCAATCGCTGAAAGTTTCAAAGCAATCGGTCACTCGGTGTAGCTATGACAGACATTGAAAGTTTTTATGAGGTGAGGTCACTTCAAGTGACCTGGTGACCTGACCTTGAATGACCTTGGTCTGAAATTTTCACAACATGTGTAGAATTGATGTATGATAAGGTGTACCAAAAACGGCGGCGCTCCGCGCCGCCGTTTTTGAGATATTCGCGAAAAACCACAAGGGGGGCTGTTCAAACACCCCCCCCCCCCAGCAGGGCGCGGGTTAATAACAAAAACTTGATTTGTAACGTGTTAACTTTGACCTTCCTTTTTATTTTTTAGAGGCGTAAGAGGGTGGAGAAGCAGGCTAAGCAACCATCTGACCAGCTGACTGACGACCGAGCTAATCAGCAAGCTGGCCAGCGGAAAATTCCGGAAGCTGACCAGCGGACCGAGCGAAATAGTGACCAGCGGACTGAGCGGAAGTCTGAGCAGGGGACTAAGCGGAAATCTGAGCAGCGGACAGAGCGCAATGGTGACCAGCGGAATAAAAGGAGGTCCGGTCAGTGGGCTGAGCGGGATGGTGACCAGCGGACGGAGAGGGGGGCTGACCAGTGGCCTGAGCGGGATGGTGACCAGCACCTTCCCAAAGAGCTGCAGGAGCTCTCTAGGCGGCAGCAGCAGGAACGGCTCGAGCTGGAGTCTCGGCATCGCCAGGAGATGCAGGAGCTGAAGCAGAGGCAGCGCGACGAGCTGGAGGAGATAAGATCGCGCGACAACCAGCAGCCAAACGGCCGGAGACGATCGCCCCGGGGCAGGCCAGACGAACGGGGCTGACCCTTAGGGGGAGGGCTGAGGTTTACAGTCGGACGGTGAGGGGATGGAGTCGCTGGGTGAATGCAGGGGTCATACTGGGGAGAATTGAGCTGTGACTTGCGATCGTGACTAACTCACACTCATCTTATGGGCAATAAGTTCGCCTCTCACCTCACCGCCGTGCTCAAGCCGTCGCGTAGCCGTCAGGCTTAAGCGTCCAATCCCGGCAACACGTAGCAGGTGTGACACCATAGTTGGCTATTATGTGTTCCTCCCACTGCTTTGTTAGATCACTGTGATGCTACATTAGGTGTGTCGATATGATTCTTGACTTTTTCAGTAGCGCTTCTTCATCATGTACCTATCAATTTGTCATACCATGTCATATCAGTTGATGTAGGGGAGAGTGGGGCAAGTCGCCCCCGTTAAGGAAAAACTGTTTTCACGGATAAGTATGAAGGCACAGATCTCTAAGTAAAAGATTTTCTGGAAGCACATTCAATTTACCACTTAATGTATAGCAGGGCCTCGTCTAAGGAATTTTCACTGGGGGGGGGGGGGGGCCAGAGACTCAAGGAGCCAAACCTAGGGTACCCCCAAATCCTGTTTTCTCATCGGACTTAGGCCACTTACTTTTCGTCACAGCCCTGACACCATATTTTTTTAAGTTACGAAAACCGAAAAAAACATGGGACATCCGAGCCATGCTATTACATTAGTCTGTTCATCACATCAGCCTCGAAGGCTAAACTGTTGATCTGATTTAAAATTCAACGACATACACCCGTTATGGCTATGACAGAGCCATTATTTCCTCTTATGCGCTTTTTGACTCCCCCCAGGGCCCAGTTCCCGTTCGTGCAAGGTAGAGTTACAACATTTTTTTTTTATAAATTTAGCCCGAACCTTTTGATAGGAAGGATTCACAAGGACAGAGCCACCTCTAAGCGAAGCTTGTTGCGGTGACCCTGCCCTCTACCCTCCGATCGCGCAATTCCAGTTCCATGGCAGAGTTTAGAGTCCAAAGTTCAATGTGCGTACATAGGCGCGCACGGCCGGTCCCCTCACTGACTTCGCCTGGCTACGGCCCTAATATTTCAAATCAAATATTTTCTGACTGAGAATAACCGAGCGAAATCGACAATTGATGCCCTCCAATGGACTGAGAATCTACCGTTTATTAGCAAGTTAATACGAGCGAATGCGGGGGCAAGCCTTAAAGGCGGTCTTTTCTATTCGAGTATGCCGTCTTTTTTTTGCAGATGGATGATTGAAGACAAAGGTGGGCCCTGAAACGAGACGCCGCGCCCTGTGGTCGCTGTGAGGGCCCGAACCTTTTTTTGTCAAACCCTTTCCTGATGAGTCCCCGCCGGCTTTTGAGCGCCCGATGCCGATCTCGGAGGGCCAATGCCGACTTCTGGACCCACGTCTGCCTCTGGTAGCAAATACTGGTCTCTGATGATCCATACTACGCTTTGAGGTCAAATCTGAGTTGAGACCGTATTTTCCCACGTAGGGCCCTACCAGGCCAGGTTAATGCCTGTGTGACAGCTTGGAGACTGAGGGCTTCTCAGATGGATTCTCCCTAATCGCCGTGGATCTCAGACATAGAATCAGGGCCGTCAGAGGCTAGCGCGAGACAACCAGGGACCGGTGTAGTAGTGCACTTTGAGGCCGGTATAGACCCAAAGTTAGCTGGCAATGGCATATGCCCTCCGAGAACCCATGCCGACTTCTTTAGTTAATTCAGTTGACAGTTCAGGTTGCTATATGTTCCAGTCTCCTGAAGAGACAGCCGACAGGCCACCAAGCTCCGCTTACGATCGCCAAAAACGGGAACTTGCTTAATTACGATTAGGGACTACTCTCACAGCGACCTTCAAACCAGAAGCTAGACGTCGCGTAGTGGGAACAGATAGGTAAAAACAAGACTGACGCCCCGAGGACATAAGCAGCAGATTAACACGTAAAGGAGAATATCCAGGACACGGAGGTGTGCGGCCTGAGAAGACGAAATGTAACTACATCTTGCTGAGCGAAAAAAATTGACATTGCGATGATAGCCACAGGTAATCGGGTACCTATATCAATATTCAATATGCTTACATTGCATCGATGTTATGTTGACTCATTTGCTTTATGTGCGTTGACGCCTCGCATAGAAAAAATATCTGCCTTTTCGGTGTTGCCGGCCCCCCCCCCCAGTACGGACGTTTTTGCCCTGACTGGGGGGGCCAGGCCGGTGACTGCGGGGGTTTGGCCCCCCCAGTTAACATGTTAGACGAGGCCTTGATGTATAGACGGCTGCTCGGCTGTTATACGGACGGGCCGCGCGGAGAACGGTCCTGAGGCTGGGCTCTCTCGGAACGGCCCTGCCGGCCCAGCCGGGGCTGTCTGCGTGACCCGGGCGGGGCGTGTGCTGCCGGGGGCGGTCACGTGATCGGAGATGACCTCGCTCTGATCTGCCGCCGGCCCGGGAGACTGGTACCTGAGAGCTGGGACTGCGGATGTGCTGGACTTGTGACAGTGCAATACAGAGCTACGACGAATAACGAGCTTTACGGCACGTCTACAAATGCATCGCACATAAGTCCAGTCTATTCTAAATGTGTTAAGCAATTAACGTTTTTCTCGAACAAGTCATTTCGAGCATCTTACCCCGTGGGCGGGTAAGATGCCCACTCTATAGGGGTAAGATGCACATAATAAGGGCGTCTTAACCCACAGTGGTGAAATTTATGTTTTGATGTGCTGGGGCAGGAAAACGTATTGCTACTGTGTGAAGTACGCAATTTGGCAGGACTTTGATCATTTACCAACGACTGAAATGACATATTAAATCAGCTTATAGGCAATATATCTGCATATGGCGCTGATACATCGGACGATCTCGCAATAGATAGCTTTATTAACATCGTTCTTGTATTGAACAAATGTAAAAACAAACTGCGTTTGAGTCAAGTACCGGACCTCCCTGCTGAACATAAGCCCATGTCTTCAGCGTAAGAAACTCCATATGACATGCCAGACTGAGGCATCAAAGCTGCAACTATAATGGGGCAAGCCCCGGTTTTGTGACCGGTTCGCGTTACGATACCCGTAGTCGCGCCGCTCAGTTGCGGCAGAAGTCACACGTGTAACTTTCCCTCACGTCATTTGCATCTGTGCAGGGCACACACGCCCATCCTGAGCACCTCCCGCACTGAATCCATTCCTCACACGACCTTACAAAACGCATCCCACAGATGATACAGTTGACATCACTGTCTTTATCTGCAGCCATGCTTCCGGAGTTTGCTTCTTTCTTAGCCTTTAGTCGCCCTGTGTTCTTCCCCTTTCTGGCCGTTTTTCTTTGTGTGCACTCGAGCATCCTTTTCAGTGGCGAAGAAGTTAAAACGGCTGCCCGCTCCGCCCTTCGCGACCTCTTCCTTTTCGGCCCGTGAGGAGTTGGGCATAGCGAGTTCAGCGTGCTACCGGCGCATACACCGGCAGCGACAGCGGCCTCACCATCAGCGGGCGGCGCCGCCACGCCGCTGGGACCAGCTCCTCCACCACCAGCGGGCGGCGCCGCCACGCCGCTGGGACCAGCTCCTCCACCATCAGTGGACGGCGCCGCCACGCCGCTGGGACCAGCTCCTCCACCATCAGGGGGCGGCGCCGCCACGCCGCTGGGACCAGCTCCTCCACCATCAGGGGGCGGCGCCGCCACGCCGCTGGGACCAGCTCCTCCACCATCAGGGGGCGGCGCCGCCACGCCGCTGGGCCCGGCTCTTCCACCATCAGGAGGCGGCGCCGCCACGCCGCTGGGACCAGCTCCTCCACCATCAGCGGGCGGCGCCGCCACGCCGCTGGGACCAGCTCCTCCACCATCAGTGCGCGGCGCCGCCACGCCGCTGGGACCAGCTCCTCCACCATCAGGGGGCGGCGCCGCCACGCCGCTGGGACCAGCTCCTCCACCATCAGGGGGCGGCGCCGCCACGCCGCTGGGCCCGGCTCCTCCACCATCAGGAGGCGGCGCCGCCACGCCGCTGGGACCAGCTCCTCCACCATCAGTGCGCGGCGCCGCCACGCCGCTGGGTCCGGCTCCTCCACCATCAGTGGACGGCGCCGCCACGCCGCTGGGTCCGGCTCCTCCACCATCAGTGGACGGCGCCGCCACGCCGCTGGGCCCGGCTCCTCCACCATCAGGGGGCGGCGCCGCCACGCCGCTGGGCCCGGCTCCTCCACCATCAGGGGGCGGCGCCGCCACGCCGCTGGGCCCGGCTCCTCCACCATCAGGAGGCGGCGCCGCCACGCCGCTGGGACCGGCTCCTCCACCATCAGTGCGCGGCGCTGCCACGCCGCTGGGACCGGCTCCTCTACCGTCAGTGCGCGGCGCTGCCACGCCGCTGGGACCGGCTCCTCTACCGTCAGCGGACGGCACCGCCACGCCGCTGGGACCGGCTCCTCCATCGCGCTCGGGCGGCACTGTCGTGCGCTCCTCGCGGGGCCTGAAGCCATCCACCATTGGATTTTCATCTGGCTCTTCCTCTGTGAGACCCGCTGGTGCGAAATCCTCTTCTGTGAAGAGCATTTCGCACGGCCAGATACCAGACGCTCTGAAGCCATTGATAGCTCGCTCCATCGTCGCTGCCCTGGTGTAGGCGGTGCCAAAGATCTGTGCGACCTCGTACTCCGTCACGCGTCTGCCGGGATGGGCCCTCATCCAGCTGTCGGCGGCGCTGTTATAGCTGCTCTTAATAGCTTTGAACACCCCCATATCCAATGGCTGCATCCTGTGCGATGAATGTGGTGGGAGCGTTATGATCGTCACGCCGTGCTCTCGCGCCAGGTCGATCACCTCGATAGATTTGTGGCTATGGTGGCCGTCCAAAATGAGGATGTGCTTTTCCTCAACCCGTGGTTTCACTGACTTCAAGAAGTGCTGGAACCACTGGAGGAACACTTCTCGATCTGTCCAGCCTGATTTGGTGCAGGTTCCAACGGAGCCCGGTGGTGCCCCGTTCATGAGACTTCCGACCATCCTCGTTCGGCCGAAGACAAGGAGAGGGGGCAGGTAGCCTCCCGCGGCGTTTGCCGCGCACAGCACTGTGACCAACTTCCCCCCTCTGCACTCGTGATCTTGCCCACCCGCTTCACTCCCTTCGAGGCTACGATCTTTCCAGGTGTCTGCACTGTGGATATTCCCGTTTCATCCATTTTCCACACCTTCGCCGGACCGTAGTTATCCGCGTCGAGAACTTCCTTGTAGATGGTGAAGAACCGCTCAACTTGAGGCCGATTAAAACCGACGGCCCTGGCCATACTTGTGGCCTCCGGACTCCTGATAGAAAGATCAGGGTGTCTCTTTAAAAAAAACCCTGCAGCCAGTCCTTGCCAGCCATACGTGAGTCTTTGGAAAAGCGTGTCTTCAGGCCCATCTTCTTTGCGAACTCATACGCGATCATCCGGACATTCTCTGCCGTCAGGCCGAACAGGAGCCTCTCCATTTCCTTTATCTTCCCTACCAGGACATTTTCGAGGGACTGAGGTATATCCGTACCCCTCCCAAGGTGCCCAGGGATTTGAACTTTGCCGTCCCGGTGGCGTCGCAGAGTCTTTCTGGGCACGCCCCATTCCTTTGATGCCTTGTACAGCGTCATTCCTGATTGAACGGCTCTCAGCGCATTTCTGAGTGACACCTGCCCATACGAGGCTCGCGCAGTTGTCCTTTTCCTAGTCCTCATAGTAAGGAGCCTGTAATTAAAGTCAGAATACGATATTAGCAATGACGAAACGACAATTTCTTAAAGATGCCCACATGCATTGGGGTAAGACGCCCCGGGAGCCTCTTTCCCCGCACCCATTATGGGCATCTTACACACCAGCTTCCGGTGGCGCAAATGATCCGACTAAAAAATCCGGCGATCATGACGCACTGTTTTGCAGTGTTTTTTTTATGAGCGAAATGTACTAAATTTCGCCGGCAAATAACAAATTTCACGTACTCGCGGAATTATGGAAATAATTACCGTTTTTCAAAGGCACATTTAATCTAAAAAACAGCATAAAATGCAATAATGCTCACCCACGACGTGAATTCCAGCCACAGGGGAGCAATGCCGCTTCAACCCTATTGGCCGTAGTGTCTAACGGTGGCGGCCATATTGCGCAGACCAGAAACCGGCTGCCGCCTGTGTTGAGGAATAGGGAATTCGGGACCTCGATTTACGTTTGCGGCCGCCGTATCCGTTACGTTCAAGTTACGTAGATACGGAACCCGGCATCTTACGCAGAATTGAGTGGGGAACACGATCGTATCTTCAGAATTCCTCAAATTCACTCGCCTGACCTACATTTGCCCCGGCCGAGGGGGTTGGTTGAACCCACCTCGCTAATGCACCGCTAATTAAACTAGAATTAAGCGGTAAAGTGGTCGTATGCGGCAAAGTATAATGCAGAGTGACTGGTAGGAACCCGCTGTAAGGGTCTCAGGTCAACTGGTGACCTCTGAGGTCAGGTCAAGTGATCTAAGGCACGGGTTCGGTTTTTGGTAAATAACTTCGCCAAAAATGGCCGTAGAGCCGCGATTTTGATATCATCGTGTTCAGCTAGCTCAGGCGCATCGAGTGATATACTTTTTGTTCGGGTCAGGTCAACTTAGGGTATTGACCTCAGGTCAAGGTCAGGTCAGCACCCCCAGGTCACGAAGCTGGTCGAAAGAGGTCATGTCGCATATCATTCGATTCGGCAGGTCTTCCTGAGTCCATTGGTGGCTTTCCCGACTCGCTAGCTCAATTTGATCGGGAGTTATTGAAGAAAAATGGTGACCCTTGTGACGTCACGAATGACGTCACGCAAGGGCAACAATGCAAATATGAAGCATAGGACCTTGCAAAGAGTGCATGAAATCATGATTTTATATGCTTGAGATAGTTTCAGATCATTCTCGGCGCCAAAATTATACTTTATTCACGCCTTCCCGTGAGTAAAGGATATTTGATGCACGAGTGGGATCATTTAAACACGAGTGTGTAAATTTCACGAGTGAAACGAGTGAAATTTGCACACGAGTGTTTAAATGATCCCATGAGTGCATCAAATATCCTTTACTCACGGGAAGGCGTGAATAAAATCTATTTTAGTATGACTCCCCGTGTCGTTCAAGTTCTTAGCATTGAGTATTTCAGCGCTCCGGTCAGGATTATTAAAGGGTTTTTTTTTGGGGGGGAGAGTTAAAGAAAAAAGGGGCTTGGCTTTTTGGGGGGAGCAAAAATTGATTCACGCGTCAATTAAACGTATGATTTAGCGTATATATTGGTCACCATTCCATCCAACTTCTTATGGCACCGATGTAAGAAAACTCATGCATTTGCGCCTGCCAAAGAATCGTGTATTGCATTAAACCTGCAGTAACAAACCTATGGAGAGAAATGCTACGTGGCATACTAAACGAAGGTAACTGAACGGTGCAGTCGCTGTACGTCCGGGTACATCTACACTGCGGGTAACTGAACCGATCTGCTTCTAGATCTTGTCACTGATGTTGATGTGGAAGGTGCAGTTGGTGTACGTGCCACTGAACAGCTGATCAGAAAAATAATACAAAGAAATTCACAAATATGTAGAGCAAAACCAGATAACAATCACTGGCTTTTAGAAGAGCAGCTTGAATGCGCTCGTCAACAAGAAGCAAAACCTGTCGAGAGTAAAACGAAAAAATTAACGCGTGATTTATTTTATTGACGCGTGCAGTCTTTTCTGCACTGGATCTTTTACTTTGATTGCAGTAAAAAAGCCGAGAACGCACGGGGAATCATATTAAAATAACAATTTTCATATTTCCCCATTGACTTATAAGGGTTTAACGTATTAGTTCCTTATAGCTGATGATTTTTTAGGATTTCATCTTGTTCTCCACTCAATTCTGCGTAAGATGCCGGGTTCCGTGTCCACATAGCTTGAGCGTAACGGATGCAGCGACCGCAAACGTAAATCGAGGTCCCGAATTCCCTATTCCCCAGCACAGGCGGCGGCCGCTTTCTGGTCTGCGCAACATGGCGGCACCGTTGGACACCATTTGGCGGCCGATGCGCATTCCACATTATAGAGTTCAGTGATTCCAGCGGAGCGGCACGATTTTTTTGGGAGTGAACAATCCTGGCTTCTGCTTCAAACAAAAACTATAAAAAATACTTCACAACTGTTGGTGTTGCAGCTAAGGGGTAGTGGGCGTCTTACCCGAGGGGGCGTCTTGCCCCACTCTCCCCTACATATGTAATAAATCTGACATTTTTGTTGATATTGCTATTATCTTGTGCAGCAAGGTGTATATTCAGAATGTTGACATTCAGTGTAATAAGGCATTTCATGCCGATTCTATAATCAGGGCTGGTAAAAAAGCAAATTGCGTCCCCGACCAAAAAATGAGAGCGAAAAATGACCCCGACCTTTTTACGATTCATGTATGCAGGCTGCATGCAACTACGATGCGCGTTTCCTTAGGTTTCATTTCTATATTATTTTTTTTACGAGCAGTCATATGTACTAAACTGCTTATCAGACTCGCGCTTCGAAATTTCCAGTTTGTTAATTAAATGTCACGGCATCACTCGGTCAGCGGGTAGCGTAACAGACGAAGAACCCGGAAAGGGTATGGGGCGCTACGATCGTCGAACAGATGCAATAGGTGTCGCTATTGTATCTGTAGCTCACAACGACGACGGCTAGAAACTATCGACCCCGCATGAATTTACCATGTCCAACCGGTCCGACCCCGGTTCCGAATCTAGTCGTTTGTCTAGTCGTATAGCTGGCTACGACTGGTCGTCAATCAACCCCGCTTGAAATAGCACAGCCGACAGCGGGGTCGGTGTCTAAGCGTCTGTTAGTATGTGTTTGATCATCTAGTTTGATCTAGTTTTCGTTAGCAACTGTCGACGGTAGTTTTGCTGTTAACGGAAGTGAGTTGTGGCTACTAATTGTTCATAACCATGTTGTATTGTAGGTATGTATTAGGTATAGGGGCTTTTTATGTCCTTGTTAACCCGCGCCCTGCTAGGGGGGGGTGTTTGAACACCCCCCCCCCTTGTGGTTTTTCGCGAATATCTCAAAAACGGCGGCGCGGAGCGCCGCCGTTTTTGGTACACCTTATCATACATCAAATCTACACATTTTGTGAAAATTTCAGACCAAGGTCATTCAAGGTCAGGTCACCAGGTCACTTGAAGTGACCTCACCTCATAAAAAGTTTCAATGTCTGTCATAGCTACACCGAGTGACCGATCGCTTTGAAACTTTCAGCGATTGCTAAGAGCAATAGCATGTACAAAATGTATATCTCAGAATTTTGATATCGATGACCTAAGGTCAGGTCAATTTTGCGACCTCCCCATTATAAGTCAATGGGAGAAAATTGAAATGCGCCTCTTTTGGATGAAAGACATTACAAACACTCCCAAACACTGAATTACAAGTGGTTTAGACACACTGAACATGAAAATGGTGTCCGTGACCCCTGTTTATGCCCTGAGGTCATCTTAGGTCACGAATGGTATCTAACAGTTTTTCGCAAATAACTTTTGATAGAGGCATGCTAGAGCGATGAAAACGCCTTAGATGTGTTCAGCTCGACGATACGGATCGACTGATATGCAACATGACCCTTTCCGGTCAGGTCATGACCTTGACCTGAGGTCAAATTTTCAAGTTGACCTTTCAAGGTCAAGTTATAGTTCATTCGATGCGTCTTGACGAGAGGAACACGATGCCGGTAAAAGTAAGCTCGTACAAGGCTTGGGTCAAAAGTTATTGCAGAAAAACTGTTTCCGAAAAAAGTCGGCTATTTTTGCAGTTTTTGCCCCCTGCAGGCAAAACCGTTGACGTTAGGTCAAATCTGAGAACATTATTCAGAAAGGGCATTAATAGGGCTATCGAATGCGCTTTTCCGCGGCGCTGTAGCTCTATTGGTTTCCGAGTTATGCGTTGGCTTCTTGGAAATTGTCGACATTCGACCTGGAAATCCGTGAAATTTCGCCTTCAATT